CACAATCCCAAACTGGCTTTCAAAGTGAAGTGGACATTCAGTGAAATCCTATTAGCTGGTCAGTGTGCTTGGTTCTTCCTCAGTGCATGGTACATAGAACTCAATTATTTCAACGGTTACTACCAGCCTTTTATCTCAGTTTGAGGTTTTAAACAATATCCCTGTTGATTCTTCCTAAGGAGACAGTCTCTGAAAAAAGTTTTCTCTCTTCTAGAACTTTAAGACAGGGATTGTGAGGCAGTTTAAAGGAAAACAAAATTCAAAGAAGCATGGGAGCATGGGTAGGTCTTTCTAGGGCAAGAGGTGAAAAAAAAGAAAAAAGAAAAAAAAAAAAAAGCCAGGGCAGCTTTATGGGGATCTCTGGCTCTTATTCCGGAAGTAGTCAGGAGTGTCCCCTAGAAAGAAACCTAGAAATAAGTCAGCCCGGTCAGAGAACCGAGCCGGAAATTGAACCATGTCTTGGATCTAATCCTCGCTCTGATACTCTAACTGGATGATCTTAAACAGGCAACTGCCCATTTGTAAACTTCATTTTCTCATCTCTCCTCCCCTTCTCCTAACTTTTGGTGTGGTTCTACAAACTCTCTTTTTCTAAGACCCTTCTGGGCAGGCACTTCTAGCTAATACTATACTGAAAGCACTGCTGGGCACAGAAAGAGTGCAGGTGAGGAAAGAGGATAAAGTATTTAAATAGGAAATCTATGCCCTTTGACATGTTTAAGGAAATTCACACACAAGTCCATATCGGCATTGTCTTCAGAAGCAAATGCGAGCAGAATAGATTCTATACCCCTCATCCCAGAGTTTTGTTTTTCAAAGAAGGGGCCAAGAACACCAACACCCAAATTCTACTTAGGCTCTGTCATCCTCCCTACAACTGAGATTAAAAAAATACAGTGCCCTCTCTACAGAAATATCCTCCCATAAAAATAACCAGAATGGGTTTTCCATGTGTTAATACCATCATCACCATTTAATTTTTAACATAAACTTTACAATATGTACAATTTTATTTGGATAATACACTTATGTGTGAATGGTAGAAATCAAGCATGTATATTATATACATGTGTACACAAGCAGTTGTATTCACAGGATAAGTGCATTTTATCATCTCTGATCCATATCAAGTGGCAAGCTGACCTCATCTAATACAATTAGGTATGAACACAGTACAATATGTAGGGATTGAATGGGAAACAGTAACTGCATACTGGGAGAACTTTTCAAGTATAGACCCCACATCACTTTCAACCCTGTTCACCAAAAAGAGATGGGGTATCTGGAAAGGTCTAATTGTGTCTCCAGTGAAAATAAACAGTACTTTTGGAAGGAAAATTGCCTTTACATAGAACCCTTCACTCATTAAATATCAACCAACACATTTAGCTTCCACCTACTCGAACTTCTTTTTCTTTGAGTCCAATTATGTCTACTATAGCCGTGGTTAATACAAACAGGCTCCATTTCAGAAACAACGCATGTCCCCTTTTCAAGGATTCATGCACGACAGCAATGCACAAAGAAACAGTACAGGAATGTGCATAATGTTAACGAATATATCCAGCTCCTCTGTAAGGTATTTTAGATTTCTCAAATTAGTGTTTATTTAGGTCTTGAACCGCAAGGGATTTCAGTACAAGGTACTTATTTATATGACAACTGATTATTAAAGCTGCACTTTTTAGATTTAAAGGAGATAAATTTTTAATCACCATTTAATTAACAACAACATTTTTTTTTCTTTTTCATTAGCAATTCTATTTGCAAATAATTCAGGGCATTTGTCATTTCCTGAGAAGGATGCAGAATATTAAATACACATCAGTGGTCGACATATCAAATAGAATAAACAATGTGTGACTATATGACAGCCGTGGATCTTTTGACTAATTAACTGCTTTGGCTAGAGTCCCATTTAAGTGAAACTATTTCATTTGCAAACAAGGTGTAATTTTCTTTTTCTTCTCCCCAGAAAATAAACGTGAAATGATGTGACAGATTTTGCTGCAATGGGTGAATTTTAATGCTTTCACTAGAAAAGCTAAATACAAAGACTCTCTGGCACCCTGTGAATCAGGGAAGAGAAAATCAAGAGTAATCCGTGGATGCCCAGTCATGGTGCTGGGCAGACAGATAAATAATGCAGAGAGATTTGCAGAGGACATAACAGTAATGTGTGGTGAGATTATAATCCTGCATGTCTCCCTGGCAGAAAGATAGACCTATAGGGACTTGCCAGCTCAGAGCATTGAAACCATAAGCGGCCTAAGAACCTGCAGATGTAAGGATGATGAAACTCATTTTCCACAAGCACAAAGGTTTCTCAAGTACAGTTCATGCTCTAGAAGACCCTCTTACCCAGAGTATTTTAAACTGGTTGCATGTGCATGCTATTACCCTTGGACAGAGACCCAACCATTTGCATTCAAGTGTACCTCTCTGAGGACCTGTTGGGTCCTTCTCAAGTGGAAAAAACCAATTAGAATTAACCAGATATCATTATGGATGCCAGTTCTGACTTAAGCCAGCTGAAACTCAGGCATTTGTGTTCAGAGATTTGGACTCCTTGCCATCCACAAATCTAAGACCTCAGAGCTGGGATATGTTACAGGAATCTTCTGTGATGGATCTATAGTCTAGGGCTTCCTATTTAATTCTTGTTAGTTCTCATACTGTGGTTTCCATTCACCACTGGACGTTACATTCCCAATATTCTTTTTGCAAAAACTGAACTTAGATGACTTTTGAATAACTCTGCATCTTTTCCTTAGAAATTGACCATCTGATCAGTAGTTGATTTTTTTTTTTTTTTTTTTTTGCTTGGGATCATCACATTGAAGAGTCAATGAATTAGTAGAGAAGGGAAACCATAAACTTTGTGTAGCATAAAATTTCTGATTATTTATTTAAAAAAAACACTTTGGGTAGTAAAAAGAATATAGATTTTTTTTGCAACATTACTGTTGATTATTCCAAAGGCCACATTTTCAGTTTCTTTATCCAGAGATGTATGTATGGGGTTAATAGCAGAAATAATGCTGCTATTAGGGGAAGGCTTTTTGACCGATTAAGTCAGTGCAAGTATAACTCTCAGTCTCCCTAGAGGTCTCTGTGGCATTTGGCAGCCCTCTGGGTTTAGAGGACACCAGACGAAGACAGAAAGCCTCTTTGGCTTGACAACAAATCACTCTTCTGTGTTCTGGAGAGGCTTTTTAATTCATTCGTGTCAAAACATCCCAGACTTGTGAGGAAATGGAGGTGATCCTTGCTGGGGTGGATAAAGGTTTGGAACGCAGTAGAAGGGCAGAAGGTAGAAAGGGCTAAAAGGCCACACAGTCATGGAAATTCAGATTTAGGATCAGAAGTTGGGATGACTATTCCAGGCCCTTTGATCCAGGCTTCTCCATGGCTGGGTCTTGGGACAGCAGAGATACAGCATCCGGGAAATAAAATATCATTTTCAAGCATATGCATCCCCAAGACCTAGTCAGCCCCTTCTGCCTTTCAAAAATGAAAGGAAGCTCCTCTCACCCACTGCCTCCCTCTGTTCTCTACCACCGACCCTGAAATTTATTGCAACCACTTTTCGTCATTATAGGAACACTGCAGGTCAGGCGCACTTTCCCAAAGATGGAGCTATCCATGCATCCTTGAGCTTTAAGAGAATCATTCCTGGCACTTGCCCACATGCAAGAAAATAATACTTACAAAACAGAATGCACAGCATGAGGAGAAGAAACGGGGTAATTTTTCAACCTGCCACTTTCTCCCTTTCTTCAAGAACGTAAAGCAGAATGCAGGAGGAAATCAGGAAATGGTCAGGCGAGTCTACATTAGCTTAGTGTTTCCGTAGCATGGCCCGAAACAGACTGAGGTCTTCTGCAAACACTGATGGCTAGTTATCCCAAATACATCAAAAATTCTCATATATATGAAATACACTAATTAACAGAGTAGAACTATATAAAAGGTTTAGTTAATATTATTTGCTGGTTTTATGGTATTTAATTTTTAAACTAGAAAATCCTGATCTGATAAAGTGTCATAACATAGCAACTATCTTGTCGGGGGCACTTTTTTTTTTTTTTTTTTTTTTTTTGTGGCAGGCACTGTGCTAACAGGCTCCCCATGCATAAGTATTCCCCTCTCTGTCTCTAACTTAAAATAAAATGGGTATCATTTCATGTCATATATGCACAGGTTTGAGTAGAATAAGAATGGGATAATGCAGGTGATTCAGAAATGACAAATGCTTTGAGAAATTTTTCCTACATCTCTGTTGGTGCTATGAAGTGGTTTGCCACCAACAGAGAGAATAACTCGGGAGAAATCACTTGTCTCACTAAAGTCTATATCCACAGTTTGGAGGATACTCAGGGTAGATCCAAGAGTGTTTCGTGTTTTGAAGGCTTTTCATTTGAGGAGGTTGGGGTGGAAGTGAGTGTCCAACAGAATTTCTGTATGTGAAGGAAGATAAACCTAAAACCATGCTAGCCTTCGGCAGACAGATGGCATTGTACTTCTTACAGAGCACAGTACACATACGGCTGTTGGTGCATGTCACCACATTCACAACTCTGGGACAAGCAATACACAGCTAATTGGACACCACCATGGCTGTTTGGAAACGGAACGAGTTATGGTTATGGTTACTCTGGGAGGGAAGGGGCAACAGATACTATACAACCCTGAGTCATCACCAGAAGGGAGGAAATGCAAACTTACGTACATAGGCGTCTTCGGGATAAACTACAATGGCCACTGTGTCACAGACAGAAGATCCACACTTAGATCTCGAAGACATAAATGTGTTAGTTTATGCAGCTCTGAACAAGACCATCGAAGCCGAGGGTGAGAGAAACACACATCAACATCCAAAGAGATTCCTGTAGCTCTCTCCACCTGAGGGTCCCTCGGGCCTTTGGCTCCAGATGTGTCTTGGAAATGAACTATAATGAAGGTAGCATAGTCACCACGAACACACTGATTTGCTATTCTTTGGGGGAGCCTGGAGTTCTTGGGGTGAGCCTGGGCTGTGATGGAAGGCATAACGAGAAAGCTGAAACTGTTACGAGCCACACTTCCTAATCTCTTGCACATGTCAATCTCACTACAGTGCAGATGCATTCTTAACTGTTTTTATTTTGTCTGTGTCAGGTTTACATGCATACCATATTGCTTATTCTGAATTAGAGAAACCATTAGGCATTTCTGATGAGAAAATTACATGGTGGACTGACCTTAATGGAATTTGGAATATAGGAAATCATAACATCACCATTGGCATCCAATGCATCATTATTGCCATCATACCCAGTAGGCATGTCCCGGAGACTTGCCCTTATGTAGTTAGTTATTTTTGGTTAAGGACTCACCATGCTCAGCACACACACCTCACAAGATTCCTTGAGTGGAAAATTATGGCATGAAGCCATGTGCAAAAGAGCCAACAACAACAAAAAAATACCTCCCTACATCTTCTTTCTCTTAGCAGGGCACTATTGGACGTCCAACATTTACCCTCCAGAACGTTGGCCATTACGTATGTTTCCCTATAGATAAAACATTAATGGAAGATTTTTAAACATCAGATTCCATACTAGGCATTTTCTTGTACACACGTCTATTGCTGCAGGAATTTAAAACCCTGGGGGTAGAGTACATATTATTCTTATTTGCAGCATAAGGCATAACATGCTCCGAAATATACACATCATTGTGGCCCCGACTGTCCCTGGAACAGTACGATGCCGTTGACCTCAAGGACGACCGAAGATAGCTGTCATTCACCGCCTGGGATGGCAACGAGTGTTTGTAAGGGTCCGAGGGGCATCTCCCAATAACCAAGCGTTGGTCATCCCTGTGGGAGTGGAGGAAAGGGTTATCGGAGGTGTGGTCTGGCAAGAGAGACTTGCTCCTCTTGCTGTCCTCCAGACCTTGGGGGAAAAGGGAGCTTTTGTTCCCCGAGAGTTTGCTTGAGGGGACACTAAACAGGCTGCCGTAAAAATTTCCCTCCAGAAGCCGTTCCCTGTCCTTGAGGCTTATGCTCCGGGAGGGCCTGCTAAGGTCTAGCTCCCTAGGTTTGTCGACAATGTTATCGTAGGAATGCTGACGGCTAATCCTTAGCTTGTTCTTTTGTAATTGAAGGGCATTGTTCTGTGCCCAGTCCTGCTGGTAGACCTGCTCCCGGGTGGCTGGGTTACCTGTCTCCTGAAGCATCTGGTCTTCATCGATGTCATAGAGGTTCCCCATCCGCAGGCAGGCATCGCACTTGAAGGGGGACCTCATGGTGAAGTGGCCTGAATAGGTGGGCAGGTTGGAAAGGCAGCTTCTGCAGTGCGTGGAGTTCTGCCGGTATCGCTCGCTGGTCTCGCTGTGTGGGGAACCCTTGTCTTTCAAGGTGAAGTGCTTGGAGTAGAGTTTATACTGCTCGGTGTCGGGAAGCCCCTCTTCATTATGCAAGGGCTTCCGGTTCATTGGCAGCGTGGAGTCCCCCTTGCGGAAGTTTTCACTGTGATCCTGGTAGGGGTCTGGGAAGTCCACGTTCTCGGGCAGGGTCACATTTTCAACAAACTGGGGTGGATCTAAGTGAAAACCAGGCTCCTTCTCACCATCAATAGTGTAGATCTTGTCTCTGGGGGAGCTTGATTTGGTTTTCAGGTAGGTGCGCTCGACCTCGCTACAGTCCTTGGGGTATTTGGAGGCCACTGACCTTTTAAAGTTGTCCTTGGTTTTGTGGTTCTTACTGTTGTCAGGTTCCCTGTGGCACGTGGCCCGATTTGACGTTTCTGAAACGTCAGAATGGGCCATCTCTTCTGGAAGATACCTAGGGCTCTTTAGGGAGTGGGTCCTATTCTCCGCTGTTCCCTCATCCCTCTGGGAGACTGGATTCTGGGATAGTGAATCCTGGCGTATGGAATCCATGGATTTCTTCCAAAGTTGCCGGGGTCTAGAGTTCACTTTGGATTCTGTGCTCACAGCCACCTCCACCGTGTTAGGGTTGGACTCATTGAGAGTGAGAGGATGTTGTCCCTGGAATACGTAGTTATTGAGGTTATCCTTGTGCCGGTTGGCCACAAATGTCTGGAGTTCGTTCATGTTGTCTCCAAAAATGCTCTCTTTCCCCTGAAAGGACCTGTTGTCCGAGTACATCGTATTCCCCTTATCTGAAACCATGTCCATGATGAGGGAACCTCTTTGGATGAAGTCAGCAGCTCTTTTGGGTGAGTCCATTCTTGAGGAGTTCATGTTGGACATGTTGGAAATGTTTTTGGCTGACCGGAGGAGTTTTAACATGTTGCTCTGGGATCCTGTCAGATTGAAGTCTGGAGACTTCTTCTTTTCTTCAATGTGCACTCCATGAATGCAGCTGTAGATGCCCTGTAGGGGAGTAACATAAAGCACCATCAGCAGCAGCAGCAGTGAATGTGAAACCACTTTGCACTTGAACTTTACCTGCAAAGGTGAGATTTGTACTTCTTGCAGGAGCCCTGGAGAAACAGCGAAATTCAGTCTGAATCCTGATAACGTATCTTAAAGGTTTGAGACAAGTTGCAAAGCATAGGGTTTACCTTACTGCTCTGGTTCAAGATTAGCTGACACCTTTGCAAAAAGTCACACATGGAGTTTGAGAAAAGGTATCAACCGATGCTCATACAACTGTCAGTGCCTCGGTGTCTCCAAAGTGGCATATAAGGACAGATAACTGAGCCTCCCAGCCCCCCGGGTCACCAATCCAAGCTTTTGTTAAAGTTTCCCAGCATCATCTTTGAAGTTCAGGCACCAGAGAGTTAACTACTGACACAGTCAGCATGAAAGGATCATCCATTGTTAACTCTTTGCTGGAATTACCCCTACTGTTATGCGAAAGCTAACAACCAAAGAATGTGTCCTGAGTGGCCAATCAGAAAATCTCTTCTCCATGCACACATTGATTCATCTAAAGGCAGGCATGAAATTCATGTGAGACTCATCATACTCTTTTTGTGGGGATAGATATGGAAGCTTGGATAGAAGGAGTTGCAGTCTTACCATCATGTGGGGGTGTGAGCCTATCAGTGAAGCCATTGTAGTGAAAAGTAGAGCCCAAGGGATAGAGAAAGACATAGTTTGAACCCCTGGAGCCAGTCTCTTGAACCTTTTACTTAATCCACTCAATCTATTCCTTGTATGTTTGTTTGTGTGTGAGTCTATTCAACGTAGCTAGAACTGGGTTTTAGTTACTAGTCATAGTGAAGAGTTCTGGTGACACAGTGACACCATCTTTAAATCCATCCAGGGAACTGAATGACTTAGGGGCTCCTGGGCAGCCCAAATACAAGCACCTCCATCTATATATCTCCTCGTTTTCTACTCTTTCTTCCTTTTAGAAAACAACTGTTTACGTTCACTTAAAAGTAGCTGTTTAACTGTTATCACGGGAAGAGCCCTTGATTCATACCACAATAACAGGCAAAAGGACGTCTGGAACATTTTGATCTGTGGCCTCCCCTGCTTCTCCCCACTCCTACCCCAGATTTCAGCAGCCATACCTACAGGAAACAGTCAGATCAAGGCTGCAGGATTTGACCTGGTCTTCCCAAGGCTGACAGGGAGCCAAACTACGAAGGGGTTTGTAGGGCAGAATTGGCAGTTGCTGCTGACTTTGGCATAAACTACAGGAAAGTATGTGTGATTAACTGTGGACTCTGATAATGGTGGCTCCATCGGTCCCCCATGGTGGGGACGAGCTCACCCTGCAGGGATGCTCACGGAACTGTGACAGCCTCAACTCATTTGTACTGCTACATTTTTCTTGTAGTAGACAGTCTTTCCACTCCAGCCTTCAAGGAACCGTAAACACCAAAGCCTACAGTTGCAAGTTTGAGCTGCTCTTTCTCTGATCCTCTCCACCCCAGGCTTCATGGTTGGTGAAGGCCCCCTGAGGCCCAGGGCACTAGCATTGCACCCTTTCCTGCCTTCCTGCAAACTTATCTGTGATCTTCTTCTACATATAATGTGTGGTTGGCTGTTTGTCCTGCCACAAAATAACATCTGCCCCTGCCCTCATTGCTTCCAGAGCTGCTGGAGCATGCAGACTGTGGATGTGGAAATCTTACAAATGAGTCATGTATTTCACATAGTACAGAGCTGCTTAACCTTTTATGTTAACCTATGCTTTTCTCACCTAACCTTGTAATATAATAATCTTATACTCTGACCCAGAGAGATTCTCCCACTATGGTTGAAAATTAGTGTGACTCTATTTGTCAGAATCAGCCTAGGTCTGTGCCTTTTCTTCCTGTTAGGATCATGAAAACAGAAGTTTTTAAGATTTTTTCCCCCTAAATTTGTACTTTGATTCCAACACACTCCCTTCTGCCACCTGGAGATTCTAAGAACTGCCCTCCACCCCTCAACCCTCAGAGCAACATGCTCCTGACTGCCAAGATGTGCTGGCTGTCTTTCTATTTGGAGGAGGCTCACAGAAGTGATCAGGGAGATGAGTTATGTTGCAGGAGATGGGAGGATGGCTGTTGATGGCTCTCTCTCATCCCTGGTTTTCCTGGGACACATGCAACATGGCTGAGGCTGTTCCCAGGTGTTGATCTGCCCAGTGAGGCCATGGAAAAAGTCAAAGGGGTGGACCCAGTCTCTACCCCAGATTGGCTGTTTGTTTAGAGATAGGGTCTCACCCTGCTTCCCAGACTGGAGTACAGTGGGGCAATCATGGCTCACTGCAGTATCAAACTCCTGGGCTCAAGCAATCCTCCTGCCTCAACGCCCTGAGCAGCCAGGGCTACAGGCACGAACCATCATGCCTGGCTAATTTTTTATTTTTTGTAGAGATGGGGTCTTGCTATTGCCCATGCTGGTGTACCCCAGGTTTTGGCGACAGCATTCTGCAACTGATTTGATACATGTTCTGGAAGGGCTGTTGAGGAGAGGGAATGCATATTACAGAATAACACGAAGAGCCAGAGGCCTGGAATCCACTAGATGTGAGTCCTGGCTCCATTATGGATTAGCTCTGTGACCTTGCATAAGCCACATCTATTTGAGCTTCAGTTTCTGCATCTAAAAAATGGGAATTATGCCCTCCTAAGGTAGGCACCAGGGGAAGGTAAAATAATGCAAACAAAGCCCCTACCACCATAGGTGGTCAGTACATGTGAGCTGGACAAGCTGCCCAGTCATCTCTGACCTTCCCTTCTTTACCATTACCTTGTCCCTTTCCCAGGAGCTTAAGCATGCGGTACCCATATGGTTGAAGCTGCAGGAAATGCGTGCCACTCTCTACTGCGTAAGATTTGCTCTTGGTAGCCACTCTGACTTTCTGCTTAGACAGGCAGACCAAACCCTACCTTGGGAACCAAGTAAATCCCTGGGTTAGAGTTTCTTTCTTAGTTGCAATAGCTCTGTCTTTAGTTTCTCTTCTCTATTATTTATAGATCCCAGATACATTTTATGGGTTGTGGAAATAAGATGCCCTCTTGGTCTCGCAGTGGGCTCAGAGTCAGGTAAAACCAGTGTTGATGACTCAAGGTGTTGTCCCAGGAAATTTCTGTGCTCTCCTGAAGGGCGCCTGACCTCTCAGAATATTATCCGTGGGGCAATGACCTCCTCAGTCCCTTTGAGCCTGGACCCCATCCCTAAAGCATCTGATTTCCGTTGGTCCCAATTGTGGGTTAGCATGAGGCTTTGTCCATTCTGCTCCAAGCTTCCCTCATCAGATCTTGCTGGAAACACTGCCCATTTTCATTCCCCTCATTTTTGGCTTTGCTATGTCTCTCATGCCTCATGGAGGCAGCTCTTTTTGCTGATGACAATGAATTATTTTATTCTACATGGGAGGGAAAGCATTTTGGAGAGAAAACAAAAGTTAAGAGCATCCCACAGGCAGGAGGATGCATTTTTGGATGTCGTAAAAGCCAAGGGCCACCGCCCTGGGAGAAGCTTGGTTCCAATGTTAAACAAATGCCTTTTTGGAGTGCTGGACTTCTCCCTCTGCAGTGCCAGGCATGCACGTATCTCTAGTGTGTACTTGCATTGCACTGTGCAGAGGCTTCCCTGGGGATGTTGAGCCTGTAAGGAGGGCTATGTAAGTCTGCTGCATGGTAATAGCTCTACATCTATTGATGTTCAACTTGCTGCAAGGAGAATAACTGGTAATAGAGAGATCCAGTTTCTGTGCAGAACCAAACCTGCCTTGGGGAGGGAGTGAATTTCAGAGCATCCAGGATCAGTGTCTTTAAGAAGAAAAAAAACACTTAAATTCTGGAGTAGACTAAAGCCTGCAACCCAACCCTGCATAAACAGACTAGTTCCCTCTTTCACATATTTTTCTAGTGTGATAGATGAAGTGAGATGTTTCCTGTTGCTTTAAGGAAACATAAGGTAAAACCATAAAGGTAACCTTTGGGGACTCAATTTCAGGATAGGTCTGGTCATGTCAACCTCAGAGGGCATCGTGAGGATTAGAAGTAACAAGTCCTCATCCACACATGAGGCATAATTCATTCTGTAGTTGTGATCTCGCACTTGTGGAAAGTAGCTTCTTTGCCTGGGAATTCCCCACTGCGGATTTTGTTAAAGAAATTGATTGTGTGTACATAATGAATTCACTTTTGTTTCCATGTGTGTTCTCCGTGCTGTGTAGGCCAACATGTAAGATGATATATGTGTGAATGTCCACAGAAGACAAGCTTCAGTGGTGGCAGTAGCCCTTGACTGAAAGGAAGGTCATTTTTCTTTTTTCTTTTTTTTTTTTTAAAGAAACTCAGAGCTTTGCTGTGCACCCCATCAGGAGCTGAGCCTATTTTGAGTACCCCTAATTAATGAGAGAGGCAGGAAAGAATCACTCAGGACGACATCTCCTATTTAGACACAGCAGGCTGCACTTACTTGAAAAGACAAATATTATCTGGGGAGAAGGAGGGTCCCCATAAGTAGGGCTCCCTGAAACCGCTGAAGCAATAATGGCGTCTGAGAGTTCCCAAGGGAGCACAGAAGTTCCCATAAAAGCACATTGCTCTTGGCCAGGTGCAGTGGCTCATGCTTGTAATCCCAGCACTTTGGGTGGCCAAGGTGGGCAGATCACAAGGTCAGGAGTTCAAGACCAGCCTGGCCAATATGGCGAAACCCCATCTCTACTAAAAATACAAACATCAGCCAGGTGTGGCCGGTGCCTGTAATCCCAGCGACTCGGGAGGCTGAGGCAGGAGAACTGCTTGAACCCAGGAGGTGGAGGCTGCAGTGAGCCGAGATTGTGCCACTGCACTCTAGCCTGGGCAACAGAGGGAGGCTCCATTTAAAAAATTAATACATTAATTAAATAAAATAATAAATAAAAGCACATTGCTCCCCATAAAATTTGGGGTTCTTCTCCCCTAGGGATGGAGTGGCCAAAGTGCAAATTCCAGCTGATCGAGGAACTCCACCAACAATGCCTGCCCTGTGCCGCCCAGTTTGCCTTCCATTCCATCCTTTGGAAAGCAAGATACGGGTTTACTTCATTTCTTAAAATGTTGATAAATCAACTTGGCTTCCTTAGCGGTGTTTTAGATAGAGGAAATGCTCTTCCAAAAACAAGCAAAATTTAGAAGTAAACGCAACAGTGTGCATTTGTTTGGTGATAATCCCAGAATCATTTGGATATGAAATGCCTTTGGTAATTGGCTGGGAGAATTAGCTTAAAGTTGGCATAATACCTAGTTTTATGCACGTACGTTGTTATTTTTAAGCAATCTATGTGTTTAGATGCCATCAAGCTAATTAGGAAATATGTATTTGCACAGAACCCGAGTTTGGAGTGCAACTGGAGAAAATAAATCTTCCTCGCTAAACTAATGTGTACCTTCCGAATCTCCACAGTTCTTGAAACTAGCAAATGCTAAGAATATACAAATTTGTTTTAAAGCAATTATTTGGCTTTCTCAGTAAACAATAGCATATAAAATTAGATGTTTTTTATTTATTTATTTTTATTATACTTTAAGTTCTAGGGCCCATGTGCACAACGTGTAGGTTTGTTACATATGTATACATGTACTGTGTTGGTTTGCTGCAATTAGATGTTTTTAACCAAAAAGTTTTCACCATTTTTCAAATCCTAATCAATGAAGTTCTTCCAAGGCAAAACCAAAATAAAACAAAACAAAAAACAAGGTGGGCAAATAGGAGAGATGAGTGGATGAACAGATGGATGCGTAGATGGCTGAAATTAATGAATGGATATATAGATAAGAAGGCAGATAGATATGTATTCTGTGCTGTTGTTTATGTTGAGTTGAAGGTATACTTTGTTTTCTGCTTGATATGTGTGCATTTTCTTCTGTTACATCTGTGTTTCATTTCATGTGCTGTTGCATTCCACATGCTCTTTGTGTTTTGTTAGATGTGGATACATAATGCATAGCATTGCAAGTAGATTTTGTTTTGTTGTGCATGTTCTGTTACAATGCATCACAAATTGTAGCATCTTGCATAGCAGCATTAGTAGTGTTATACAACATACCTGAGCACTAGTGATGGAAGCCACAGGCTGGCTGTGTCTGGCCCAGTGTTTTTAAATTTTTTTCAAATGGAATTAGTTACTAATATTTAAAAATGGAAAGGTTTCTAGCAAAATCAGATGACATTTTCTGTTTTTAAAAAACTAGAAGACCTGATAATATTGATCCTACTTTCCCATAAGACAATACTCAGCAGGAGTTGAGGATGGCTGCCCGCTACTGGTAAGGCAAACATTATGCGATTGGCCACAGTCCTCAGTATTCCCTATCGTTGTCTCATTTTGATACTGAGGTTTAGCTGCCGTCTCACGTCATTTGTGCTATTTTTTCTCATGTCCCGCCTGCTGCACCCACTCCCATTTCCTTTCTGCCTTCCATAGTCATCTAGGTTTGCACCTCCCGGCTTATGAATGCGCAAAATCTGGATGCTCTTTTGACAAGCCCAAAAAGGGCTGGCAAGGGAAGAAAGTGCAGACCCCACTGAGACGTCAAGAACCCACGCGTTTTTCTAAACCTGCTTTTGGTGCAAGGAAGTAGCCCCCGGGGGTACTGACCCTGCTGATGGAGAAGAGCAACCCAGGCCGGTCGGAGCACACGCCCGTGAAACAGAAGCGCAGCTTCCAGTAGAAGAGGTGCTCCCAGATGAAGGTGATGAGGCTAAGGGCCATGGCCGCGGCCAGCATGTAGAACACGCCCGCCATGTTGTCAATGTCCAGCTGGCTGCTCATCACCTCGTTCTTCTCGTTGTGGCAGATCCCCGTGAGCCACAGGGTCTCCAGCTCCTCCATCTCACCTAGACAGGATACAACATTCATAGGCAGTGAGGACCAGAGCATGCATTTTGGGGCAGATGCTTCTGGGTTTGGAACAGACGATGTGCAACTCACAGCTTTGTAACCATAAGGCAAGTTTCTGAGTTTACTGATTCTCCATTTGGTCACTTTTTGAGTGAAGATAATAGTGATTACGAAGCCTACCTAATATTGTTGCAGTGATGAAATTTATATATAAAAATAGAGAACATATATATATATATATATAGCAGACAGAGTACAGCAAGGTTATTCTCTATTAATATATATTTATATATTATATACACACATAATATATATAACTTAGCACAGTTCCTGGTTTTGGTTTCGGTTTTTGGAGTTTTGTCTTTTTTTTTTTTGGTCATTATTATGTTTTTCTGACCTTGCTTTTCCCTACCCCTGCCCCCAACACCCACCCAAGCTTTGAACAAGACATGGGAATAAAAGCGCAGAATGTGCAATAGAAAGACTTCATTGCAATTCTGACTTCATCATCTGCTAGCTGCATGGCCTCAGAGCTACAGTTGTCCTGTCTGTGAAATAGGCATAATAAAAGAACATACTTCCTCTATAGAGTTGCCATGAGGATCAAATGACATGAGAATGTGTAAAATCCCTAAAGGACCCAGATCATAGTAAGTTTCATAAGTAGTATGTTTGCTACTATTTATTGTTGTGAAGAAAATGCCTAACACAGTGCCTGGCCTATGGCAATCCTCAAATATATTTCTTTTTTTTTCTTTTTAGAACATTCAGGATTACTTAGAAAAATCACACATGAGCAGTATACTTAGAGCACAAAACTTTAATTGAAAAGAGACATCCAGCTGGCTCTGAATGGACCCTTGCAAACTAAAGTATCCCCACCCCCCAACTTCAGTAGGCAATTAAATAACCAGGTGGTTTTTTCCAATGGGGGAAGAAAACAGTAGGCATGCTTAGAATTATTCTCTCTCTTCTATGTGCATTTTATCCAGTTGCCATTTAGGAGAAAATCCTCTGATCTAAACGTCTAGCAATTATATACTAACTGTCTAGCAATTCACTAAACTATGGTACTTAGACTATGATTCAGCCTTTAAAAATGATCTTTCAAGGACAGTAAAAATCAAGGAAGATGCATATGTTAAATGAAAAGTATGACTATATTTTATATGTATATGTATATACATGATGTCTAAGATGTAATGGGGACATGCTGAGAAAAATTAAGGAAATACTCTGAATGTTTATATCAATTCTTTTTGAAGAAGTCAATCATAATGATTGATTTAATATTGGTCTTTAAGTTATGTGAAATTAGCATGTATTGTTTTTGGTTTGTTCTCAATCTTGAATGATATGGCTGAATATAAAAATCAAAGTTGATAATTATATTTCCTTGACCTTTTGAGGATGTTAAATTTTCTTCTGATCTGGATGGCAGTTGTTGAAAAGTTGGCTAATCATCTTATTATCGTTACTTTCTATTTAATCTATATTTTCTCTCCAGTTGCTTTTGAGAATTTCACTTTGTCTTTGGTGTAAAGTCTAGGTATGGTTTGTTTTATTGGTTCAGCTCTGGACTTAGTATGATTTTTCAATTTGAATACTTACAACTTTAGTTCTGGCAAAAATTCACCTACTGTGGCTTTGAACATTACTTCTCCCCATCATATCTTTTTTTTTAAAGTTAATAGATTTTATTTTTTAGAGTGGTTTTATAGTTACAGAAAAACTGAACAGAAAGTACAGAGAGTTCCCATATACTACCTCTCCGCGCTCCCTTCAGTTTTCCCTATTAATATCTTGCATTAGTGTGGTACAGTTTTTACAATTCGTTTGGGTAAATACCTAGGAGCATTATTGCTAGAATATGCAGTAAGTCTGTGTTTCAGCTTTGTAGGAAACTGTCAACCTTTCTTCCAAAGTGGCTGTACTATTTTGCACTCCCATCAACAGTGAATGAGAGAGCTCCTGTTGCTCCAAGTCCTCACCACCCTTATCGTTGTCAGTGTTCATGTTAGCATTTGGGGTTTTAGCCACTCTCATAGGGATGTAGTGCTCGCTCATTTTTTCAATTCGCAATTCCCTAATGGCATCTAATAGTCCCATCTTTTTTTTTCCTGAAAACTTTAAAATACTGTAGACCTTTTCATTCTCTCTTCTAGGTTATTTACCTTGTTTTAATATTTGCATTCTTTTTTTCTCTCTGTGCTGCATTTGGGTGATTTCCAATAGATAAATTTTCACATTAATTTATTCCTTTCTTAGTAATATTTAGCTTTATGTTTTAATTTTATTTTAATTGTGATACTCATTTGGTTTTTTTTACAGTTCTGCCTGTTCTTTTTGTCATAATATCCCACCCTTTTATGATTTTCAAAACTTTTATATATTTAATAGTTTTAAACCTCTAGTCTTTCAGATGACTCCCCCCAACCCCCACCTTAGTTCTTGGGATTCTCATCCCTCTGTTTGCTGCGTGTTCTGACTCTCATGGTGGGTTACTTCCTTGTGACATCTGTAACTTTTGACCATGAGCTAATCTTCTGCCAAATTATTTTCCCTCTAAGCCCCATGGGACTCCCAAAAACACTAGGCTATAGAAACATCCCTACAGAGAGTTTCTGGGTTTGCTTCTGCCACGGTTCCATGGTTCCAGGAATTTTCAATGGATGAGTTTTTGTATGGAAAAATTTTTACTTTGATTACTACACCATTTAAGTAGCATGCATTTGAACTCACATGCTCATTTGGGCTTTACTTTCTTACTGAGAGCTTCAAACAGATGGTAAACCTCCTTGCATTTTCTTCACTTTGATGGACAGAGATTTTCCTAGTTTTCTTTTTACAGACTAAGTGACTCATGAAAGGTCTCGAATGTATTAACCAGAAAAAAGCATACATGCTAATAAGGTTTTTTACAAAATAGGAAATCCATCCCCTTTCGAGTTTCTCACACACAAAAATGGGTGCTGATCAATCAGTCATGTAGGTAAAGGGATGAGAAGAGGGTATCTTGATTCAATTCCTTTTCTTCCAACAGCCTCCCATACTTCCACACAATCAAAAAGGTCATAGGAGACTTTGAAATAATATCTCACTGTCCACCAACACTGTCTCAAACTCATCCAGATTTCTCTGCCCACCATGTACCTCAGACCTGCACGACTGCTTCCTCTTCTCACAAAAACACCAATGCCATTCCTTTCAAAATACAATGTGCTATTGACTTCCCCCTCCCTTTGGAGGTGTTTTGTTTTGTTTTGTTGCCATGGGGTCTCACTCCAGTCACCCAGGCTGGAGAGCAGTGGTGTGATCATAACTCCTTACAGCAGCAACTTCCTGGGCTCAGGTGATCCTCCCACCTTAGCCTCCGAAGTAGTTGGGATGACAGGCACACGCCACCATGCTGTGCTAAGTTTTTGTATTTTTAGTAGAGATGAGGTTTCACTATCTTGCCCAGGCTGATCTCAAACTCCTGGGCTCAAGCAATCCACCTGGCTCAGCCTCCCAAAGTGCTAGGATTACAGGCATGAGCCACTGTGCTCAGACCCTTTGGAGTCTGTGAGGACACAAAAATGGGTCTTCTCGCTATGACTCATCAGATTCCCAGAACATCTTCCTTTCGGTGTTACCCCAAAGAAAGCTAGGTTTGTAAGCCTGTAAGGAGGGCAGTCTGATACAAGAAACATCATCTTGATTCCTTTCAGGATGTAAATAAAAAGATTTCCTTCTGCCCTTTGCCCAAACAATACTTCTTTTTAGAGGAAGTCAACCTGGTAAAGCAGACTCCAATTTCAAAAAAAAAGAGCAAATGCACATTTCTCATTACCAATTACAGCCTGTTCCAATCATTTTCAAATCTATCATTTCCTGCCTCGTGGCCCTCTTTGACTAGTGTACTGAACTATAGTTCAAATACTTTCTTATTTCATTTTTAATTTACTCAAGTATATTGTAATCTCCTGGAGGGAGATCACGGACCATGTTTTATGATTTTGATATTTTTCGTGGCCTGCAGCACGTAGTGAGCATTGAATCCATATTTTCTGTTTCTGTTTCTTTTCTTATATCCCCAGGCTTAAATTGGGCAGCATTGCAGAAGTGTTCAAATCTGTTTAGTGAGTTATTCTGCCATATAAATAGACGGAATACAAAGCAAAGGGGAACCCGCAGCGGGCTTGAGAGTAAAAGGCTGGGAAATGTGCATCCTTTAGGTAGGGTGAAGCATCAAATGTCATTTTTCCAAGGAGTGGCTCTATGATATTCATTCTGCTGTCAGTTTCTCCTATTAAAAAGGCCGTGATCTTTGTCAGTGTGATCTTGTGAATGAGAGCTGGTAAATGGGACAATTAAATCTCTTTCCTGAGGCAGACACAGTCTTGCTGGGAAGACACAAGCTAAATGCTCTCTTGGGAACAGATGGAGCCTGGGAAGTTTTGGGGTTGCAGTCAAACCACACTGTCTTTGTCTCCCCACTGGAGAGGACTGGTCCCCATGTAATGCTCAAAGCCCTCTCCTTTTGTGTTTCCACCTCCTCCAATGACAGTAAGCTCATGTACATTTGCAGAACTTCTTTGTGCCCGTGGGAACTTGCACCTGTTCTTCCTGTATCTGTTTTCAGGGGAGATGTTTCCAGCCACAAGTATCTCTGCCAACCACTTAGTTCTGCACCATCCTGAGGAAAGCTGTAAGTTCAGTAGAAGGAGCAAGGTGTCAAGGTCACTCTTTTCCTAATCCTTGCAACATGAAAAGACAGAGTAATAGAGTTTCAGGTGTCAACCGTCAGAGAGATGCAGAATCGAAAAGGGAACAGGCAAGGATAATTGAGGCAGTGTTGTGTGTGTCTCCAGCTTGCTTCCATTGGCTGCTTGGGTGAGTCTGTAAGACGGCTGGTTAGACAAAAGGTACAGACAGGATGCAGACAGTGCAGGAGTTTATCCCATTACCCATCCACCCACCGGCAAGGAGGAAGCCAGAGGTTTTATATTTGCAA